GGAGTTCCTGGGGGGCAGGGATGTGGAGAGGGGTTGGGGCAGTCAGGGGACAGGGAGCAGGGGGGGTTGGATGGGTCGGAGGTACCTGGGGGGGGCTGTCAGTGGGTTGAGGTGTGGAGAGGGGTCGGGGCAGTCAGGTGATAGGTAGGGGCTGAGGTCCTAGGGGGGCAGTTAGGGGTAGGGGTCCCGGAGGGGGCGATCGGGGACAAGGAGCAGGGGGGGTTGATGGGTTGGGGGTTCTGTGGGGGGCAGTCAGGGGGTGGGAAGTGGGAGGGAGTGGATGGGGGCGGGGCTATTTCCCCCCCCCCCCCCAATGGAGTGTCCTCTTTTTTGAAAGTTCAAATATGGTAACCCTATCCCTACTCCAGAATGCAGAACAGAAACTGAAAAGAAACAAACACAAAGAAATGTTTTTATTCTAACTGCTCAGTTTGTTGAATTCCAGACTTTCGCTGGGGTGCTATTTAGCCTCAGACTTAGCAGAAACCTCTCTGAAAGTACTTCTTTTGATAACTAAGGTAATTGGCTGCAGCAGCTGCTAGCACAGCATGTCTGGGCAGGCTTCTTAGGGAACTGCACCACACAGGCAGCCAAAGGCACAAGCCAGCAAGATTGAGTACAGTAATTCCTGGGCTATCATCCCCAACTGCCAGTGTGGACAACTATTCCTCTCCCCTCCACAAAAACAAACAAACAAAAAAACCCACCCTGGAGTTGTCAGCATGGAGAGACAAAAAAGGAGAGCAACCCAGACACCGAGAAGCAAGTAGGAGCCCTTCATTTACTTCTGTCCAGCTCCCATGCCCTTTCTTATCAAAATGTGGGTGAGTCCTTATATAACCCAGCCTTATTTTCTGTGTGACTCATTCAGGCAAAATGGCTGCTCCATGTACAGGTTTCCCCTGGTCCCCCCCTTGTCCCTACAAATTATGGGGTTATACACCATCCATAAAGTCAAAGGGGTACCACTTAGGAATTCTCTTTCAAGGGTTACACACTTTCTATGGCACAGCAGTAGGTGGGATTCTCCCTTTAGATTTCATTGTCAGGGCTACTCTAAGATCTCATGATGGAGTCCACTTCCTCTGGAACAGATTGGGGAACACTTTCATATCTCAAAGCTTTGTGGCAGAGTCTAATAAACTGATAAAGCATACTGTCTTGTCTAGATGGAGGACAGTTACAGAGCCTCTCCATTCTACCTCTGGATACCTCAGAGCAGCCCAATGGTGTGGAAGAAAGCAAAATGATAAAACCAGCAGGGACAGTCACTTGCCAAACTCAGCCTCTTAAGGAGTATGGATTCTCGGTCTTCCTTTTTCCATTGGAGTAGCAAGAAAAGTCTAAAAAATAGAAGAAGGAAGTGAGGAAACATCCTGCTCAGAAGCAGGAAAAAAAAATCTCTCACACCTCTCCCATTTAAGACGGGTAAAGAGCATTAGAGTTTCTCCCCAAATATCAGATACCAGCAGAGCAGCGGAACAGTTCCTGTAGAAAGTATTCAGAAGGAGCTGGGACACACATCACATGGAACCTCCTTTTTCCATCATCCTACTATGGAGCCTTAGAACCTAATTTCTCAAAGCACAAATTCGGTAGGAAGGGGAATTGTTGGGGTGAATCTCAGAGAGTTAGGAAGAGCAGTCCTTTGATCCCTCTTCCTGAAATGACTGACAGTTGTCTGACTCCTCAGAATAAGGGGGAGATCAAAACAAAGCTCTTGCCCCAGAATATTTAGATACTGTTGTATAGCAGAGTAGCAACACACCTACACTTTCCTCTAGACAACACACCTTAGGAAGAGTTACTTGAGGAAGATGACGGCATAGATAGCAAGACCACTTGGATACATTTCCTTTCAGGATATAAATTGGAACTGTAAATCCCTTTCTATGCAGCTCTTAAAATATTGAGTGAAGACTGGGTGAACCAGCTAAGGCCATGCTCCTGAAGAGACTGAAAATATTGAACATCTGGGATGTATCTTGGTGGTCCTCTTTTTATGGCAAAGAAGAGATCCTGTGTAGTAACTTTATTGTTGTAAGAGGATCTGAAGTTCTTGTTAGTAGTTTCAAAGGTTTATAAAGTGGTCATACAGTAGAAGATGTGGAAATTCTCTCAGATTGACTAGGTCTTTGGGGACTGAGCCATTTCCTCCCTATCAGAGGCTTCCAGGTCTGATCCAGAGCTGTTGACAGGCAGAAGATTGACTGAAAAAGATCTGCGGATCTTCCTACTAGAGGGGAAAAAAAGGAAATTTTAATGTAAATACAAATAACTTTTCCTGTATCCCTTGCAATAATAACTTAGGCTTGATCCTGGAAACACTTAAGCATATGAGTAATTTACTCATGTGTTTTCAGCAGTACTATTCAGATACATAAAGCTTTACTCTTGAGCCTAGATGTTTGAAGGATCAGGCCTTACTCAGTTTTACATATTTGGTATAATGAAATCTGTGAGCTGAGATAGCACTGCAGGAATAAGTTGAACTTTGAGAAATACTTCACTTGATTTTTCAACTGCTATATTGCATTGCTGTTGTTTTGTAATTAATCTATTTTAAAAGACTCAAAAAGAGAATATCACACTTTAATAACCAACAAAACATAGTCTTTATATTTTTCTTCTCATGCACGGAGTGGAAACTAGTCTCTTCCATTCCTCTGTCATTAAATGCTTGATATAAAATAGATTGATTATGACATTTAGCTAGTCCAGGCAAGTGCTGGAATTTTTTTTACAAGTTTCATAGAATGTAATGCATACATTTTTAATGTGTGTCTATATACTTTAAGATGGAAAATATGCAGAAAACTATCTATCAGTTAGAAGAGCAGCTTCAAAATGAAATGCAATTGAAAGATGAAATGGAGCAAAAATGCAGGTGAGACTGTGAACTTAAATACATTTTCAGAATTAAATAATATAAAAATCAGCTCTGTAAAAAATATATTAAGGATTACAAGCATGATATCAATATTGCTACTATAGTAATACAGTAGCCTGAGATTCTAAGCCACAAATTAAATCACTTTAAAATGATATCTCAGAATGTTTTTCTTTTGTATTTAAAGAGGAAGATGAATTGTTTGTGTTCGCATCAGTGAAAAAGACACATATCTTACCCCTGAATATTTGAACTCCATGTTGTTTTTCCTTCCACTACCCTGATAGGTTTCAAATACCTGCAGGACACAGTGAACACTTTTTTTTTTTTTAAGAACGTAAAATACTATGGGCACTACATGTACTAGAATATTGGAGTTTTAAGATTGTCCAGCATCTTGGTATCTTAAATGCCACAGTACTATTGAAAGGTCCAGCTTGTGACTTTTGTTGCGATTAAGACAGATACACGCAGCAGTTTTCTGTTATGTTCTTGAAAAAAGTAAATATCTGACAAATTACTGCCTATTCTTGCACCTTCATCAACATGGGCATATAGCGGAAAATCTGATAATCATGGAGCTTAATGTGCACACATAGCTGTTGGTCATCTTAGAAGAATTGCTACCAAAAATGGTCATATGGGAATTCAGACCACATAGTAGTATTTAGTAGATAGTGTGCTCTTTACACATATCCAGAGTTTCACTGTCCACATATTGACTACCTACCACATGGCAGCATGTGGGATGCTAGAAATATTTTCAACGATTGTATCCCTACAATCACACTGACTATGTATTCAGTAACATCAGCATGTCTTCTGATGTCTCACAGTTAAACACATTTTATCACAGGGTTAATAGATTTGATTTAGGGCTGTCAAGCGATTAAAAAAAATTAATTGTGATTAATCGCGCTGTTAATAACAGAATACCATTTATTTAAATATTTTTGGATGTTTTCTACATTTTCAAATATGTTGGTTTCAATTACAACACAGAATACAAAGTGTACAGTGCTCACTTTATATTTATTACAAATATTTGCACTGTAAAATCCAAAATTAATATTTTTCTCTTCGCCTAATACAAATACTGTAGTGTAATCTCTATCATGAAAGTTGAGCTTACAAATGTAGAATTGGGAACCAAAAAAAAACCTGCATTCAAAAATAAAACAATGTAAAACTTTAGAGCCTAAAAGTCCACTCAGTTCTACTTCTTGTTGAGCCAATCACTAAGACAAAGAAGTTTGTTTACGTTTGCAGGAGATAATGCTGCCCGCTTCTTGTTTACAATGTCACCTGAAAGTGATAACAGGGGTTCACATGGCACGGTTGTAGCCGGTGTTGCAAGATACGCTAAAGATTCATATGTCACTTCATGCTTCAGCCACCATTCCAGAGGACATGCGTCCATGCCGATGAGGGATTCTGCTTGATAATGATCCAAAGCAGTGCGGACTCGCACATGTTTGTTATCGTCATCTGAGTCAGATACCACCAGCAGAAGGTTGATTTTCTTTTTTGGTGGTTCAGGTTCTTTAGTTTCTGCATTGGAGTGTTGCTCTTTTCGGATTTCTGAAAGCATTCTCCACACCTCATCCCTCTCAAATTTTTGAAGGCACTTCAGATTCTTAAACGTTTGTGTTGAGTGCTGTAGCTATCTTTAGAAATCTCACATTGGTACTTTCTTTGCGTTTTGTCATATCTGCAGTGCAATTATTCTTAAAATGAACATCATCATCTGAGACTGCTATAACATGAAATGAAATATATGGCAGAATGCAGGTAAGACACAGAGCAGGAGAGCTACAATTCTCCCCCAAGGAGTTATCCCAAATTTAATGAATTTAAATATTTATTTATTTATTTATTTATTTATTTAAACAAGCATGTCCTCAGGAATGGTGGCCAAAGCATGAAGGGGCATACGAATGTTTAGCATATGCTGGCTACAAAAGTGCCATGCGAATGCCTGTTTTTACTTTCTGGTGATATTGTAAGTAAGAAGCAGGCAGCACTATGTCCCATAAATGTAAATAAACTTGTTTGTCTTAGTGATTGGCTGAACAAGAAGTAGGACTGAGTGGACTTGTAGGCTCTAAAGTTTGACATTGTTTTGTTTTTGAGTGCAGTTATGTAACAAAAAAAAATTGACATTTGTAAGTTGCACTTTCATGATTGAGAGATTGCACTACAGTACTTATGAGGTGAATTGAAAAATACTATTTCTTTTGTTTATAATTTTTACAGTGCAAATATTTGTAATAAAAATAATATAAAGTGAGCAATCTACACTTTGTATTCTGTGTTGGAATTGAAATCAATATATTTGAAAAAGTAGGAAAACATCCAAAAATATTTAATACATTTCAATTGGTATTTTATTGTTTAACAGTGCAATTAAAACTGCAATTAATCGTGATTAATTTTTTGAGTTAATCACGAGTTAACTGCGATTAATCAACAGCCCTAATTGATTACATATATTGGTATAAACTGCTATTTATTACATGTCAGTTAATACTGTCTGAATTGTTTATGCTATAACTTTTTTGGACAGAGGTAAATAACTACAAATTAACGTTTATGTGGCCTAATGTTGTTTTATAAAGGCCAAAACTAGGGACAGACATCCATACCAAACGTATAGAACTGGTAGAGATCTTGCTGCGGATCAATGGATGTTCCGTATTGCTGGCTGACCAGTTCATATTTCCTTTGTCGATATACTTATCTCATAGAGCTGGAAGGGACCCTGAAAAGTCATTGAGTCCAGCCCCCTGCCTTCACTAGCAAGACCAAGTACTGATTTTTCCCCAGATCCCTAAGTGCCCCCCCGGATTGACCTCACAACCCTGGGTTTAGCAGGCCAATGCTCAAACCACTGAGCTATCCCTCCCCCGTGGGGTGTTACTCAGCACTTATTTCACCTTCTCTTTGCAGTAACTTCTTTTTTTTTGTTTGTTTTTTTTCCCCAGTTTTCTTCTAGAGATACTTTTTGTGTGGTAATAGCATGTAGATATCTTTATATATGATATGGACATATTTGTATGGGTAATTGATCACTTTTGGAGATCCACATTCTTCGAGATGTGGGATGTGCACAACTGGAGATTCTTTCTAGAGAATGGCAGAGTATGTGTTGACCAACATTTACTAGTTATAGAAACCTCTTACTCTGCACCTTTTTGTGGATTTAGGGACAGAATTTGACCCTTACCATTTTTGACACACATTGCCTCCAGTCAATACATTTGATGATTGTGTTATTATAAACCACTTTATGTTGATTGGTGGCATTCTTCAGTTTAAAATGTTGGTTTTAGGATGAAGTGGCAAGCACATAGTAAGCATTTTTTAAATAATGGTCTTAAATAGTTTAAATATTGAAATGCCAGGCATGTAAAATAAGATCTTAATCATTTACATATTAAAATAATTCATTATTTATAGGACTTCAAACATAAAACTAGACAAGCTAATGAAGGAACTGGATGAAGAGGTAAGTTTGTGCTTTTCTGAATCACAGAATTTTTAACTACGTTGAGTCGATCAGTGTACTCCTCATACTGCTAGAGGTTTATAATTTTCCTGTAAAAATTTGCACTCCAATTTAAATTTGAGAATAAATCTCCACGTTCCAAAACACAAATCATTTTGGCCATGTTTGTTATGAAAGTGCAAAATGTAATTTTAGCATTTTAAAATACTTTTTTTTGCTTCTACAATTCAAAACTACTTTCCTGCATTTCAAATCCTGTGCTGAACACTATTTAGCCTTGTTCTTCAGAATATTCAATATAATTTTTCAAAATTAGCTAGATTTCTAAAAATCTGTGTGCGGATAATTCTCTAGCACATCATTATATTGTAGTATTCATAAACCTAATACAGTAACTCCTCACTTAACGTCGTCCTGGTTAACATTGTTTTGTTGTTACGTTGCTGATCAGTTAGGAAACATGCTCGTTTAAAGTTGTGCAATGCTGCCTTATAACGTTGTTTGGCAGCCGCCTGCTTTGTCCACTGCTTTCAGGAAGAACAGCCTGTTGGAGCTAGCTGGTGGGGGCTTGGAACCAGGGTGGATTGTTAACCCCCCTATCAGCTCCCCGCTCCCATAAGTTCCCTGGGCTGCAGCCACCCAGCAGGTTACCAGTTGTCAGCAGTTCAGTTGTCCCTCCCCCCACTGCCATGTGCTGCTCCTGTCCTCTGCCTTGGAGCTGCTCCCGGGAGCCTCCTGCTTGCTGTGCAGGGGAGGGGGAAAGAGGGGGGCTAATGTCAGAGTGTCCTCCTGCCCCCCTGCTTACCCCTTCTCCATATAGAGCAGGATGGGGACAGGATGGAGAGAGCTAACTTCCTGATTTTTTTTTTAAGGCAATGAACTTAGAGTGGGTCAGCATACTTAAAGGGGCAATGCTCCTCTCTCTCTCCCTCCCTCCCCCACACACAGGGTGTGTGTCTCTATCTGCCATGCTGTCTCCCCTCCCTCCATTTGTGCTGCCTTGTAGAGTGTGAGGCTACATTAACATCTTGTTAACCCTTGAGGGCTCAGCCGAATGCTAGTTCATCATTTAGCAGTAAGGCATTCCTCAGGAAATATTCCACCCTCTAACTTCACCCCCTCAACCAAGCTTCACAATCATCATTGCTGTGTACAGTATTAAATTGTTTGTTTAAAACTTATATGTGTGTGTGTGTGTGTGTATATGTGTATATATATATATATATATATATATATATATATATATATATATATATATATATATATATA